TACCGGTGTGTCAATCAAATATTATTTCATGACTCGTTTAAGAAACCGAAACTGTGTTTGTTTCTTATAGTTGTGTTGATTATGACTCACAGATGATTAAAACACAAATGGCCCTGCCTTTGAAATTAGAATATTGATTAAAAAGTACAAAAATGGAAACTCATTTTGTCTCAACTTAATTGGCTAATTGACTCAAAACCCTTACAGATATTTGCCGAGCCTCTAAATCGTCTCTCACCCTGCGTCTTTAGGATACAGCACGGGGAAGCCTAGTGACTTAAAAGATGTCCACAACACAAGCCATTGATCATCTCCACAAGGGCAGTAGGCCAGTGAAGGTCCTTCCTAAGAAAGCTGGTTGTTAAGTGCACGCTGTATCTACCCTTACATATGGGAAGCTACGTGGAAGGGAAAAAGTACAGCAGCAACAGGGTTAACCAGTCATTCAAGAACTTTGGGGAGATCCACAAGGAGTGGCCTGGGGCTGAAACGGTGTATCAAGGGCCGTCGAGCACAGATGAATCCTAACCTGAACAAGAGGGCAGAAAAAAAGACTCCACTCTGGGGAGAAAAATAACTTAAACAAATTAATGTTCTATGGTTCAAAGTTTGCTTGTTAGATGAGGGTAAAGTTTGGATTTCATTTGGAGTAGAGAGGCACAGAAAATACCTCGATGAGGTCCAGAGTGAAGTTTTTACAGTCAGCTATAGGGGGGGGGCTGTGTGCACTGCTTGTGTTGGTTGTCTGAAGCCAACAGTCAACACAACCATCTACCAAAAAGTTTGAGAGTTCATACTTCTTTCTGTTGACCAGTGCTCTTCTGGTTGATGCTGATTTAATTTTCCAGCTGGGCTAGGCCTCCTTCCCACAAGCACCAGCTCTTTCTGTGGACATGGTCTTACTGTCATTTTACCTAACCTACCTGACCCCATCAGGGAATCTGTTATTGAAAAGAGGAAGAGGCAACAATTCAGATAACCTAAAAAGCCATCAAAGCTGAGATTCCATCAGGACTGGGTTATGCTTGACACATACATAACCCGTTTGTGCTATACATTTTACATTTGTAAACCCTCAACAGTAGGAGCTGTTGCCGCACAGATGCATCAAGCATAAACCAAGGTTAATACTACGTCCATGCACTTATCCTCTCTATACCACTCTGCACTGATGCAGTATTTCATTGAAAAAAAGAGCTAAATATAGATTGAATAGAAATGAACATGCTTTCCAGGGGTTTGTCATTAGTTTTTTAACGTTCCCTGATCTTATGTAATATACAAATTTTCTGAGGCACTGAATTCTGCCTTTCATTGCCTGTAAACCTGCAAGAAACAAAGCATAAAATATCCAATTCTGTGTCAGGTACCTCTATAATATTTGATTTTTCACCTTTGGATATGAATGAAAATATATTCGATATTCCCACAATATATCGATGTACCTGTAGGATAACGCTGGGCATGAACATGCCGCTTTCACATTAGTTACTGAGGGGGCACCTTTCAGGGCTTCCTGGTTGACACTGAGCTTGGTATTTATTTACTTACTGACTCTATATTAAATGTATCTTTCACTAAGAAATATTATGGACACAAATATCATGATTATCGCCACTGGTGCCTTGAAAAATGCTCAAATTGATAGGATTTATTTTGGATTTCATAAAATTCTCCAACATAAAAGGCTGTTGGCAGAGGTTTGAGCTGACATTTATGCACATAGTAAATAAAGAGAACTATATGATTTTTGCTTTTGCTATATAGCAAAAAAAAAAAAAACATGATAAATACCAGCTAAATTTGCCTGTATTTTGTTCTTTCACATCCTGCTGGAGTTCTGCTTATTAGAATAAAATATGCCTAACCAGCTCTTATTAGCAGGCTAATTAGTTAGAGTATCTGCTTTGGTTGCCAGCCCTCAAGCCAGCTGACCCAATGTAGATTTAAAACGGTATCATCATGCGAAAAGATGAGACACAGAAGTGGCAAATCTAGGAATGCTTTTTCTTTTTTGTTGATGTGCTGCGGGAGGTTGCAGAGACTTATTTTGATGCACTTGATGCAAGCAGTAATGTTTTCCTCAAACTCAAGCATTCATAAAAACTTTAAACGGATCAAACATTGCTAAAAGAGCTAAAAGATTTTTTTTTTAAGAAAAAAAAGCAACGTTTCGTTTTGAGATTTATGTAATTTGAAATGTCACAGGATCAGTTGGGTCTTTAGCTGTGGTGTTTTGTAGGGCAGTCATGTGAGTAGCTCGACTACTCCACATTGCTGTTGCTGTGTGGGATGCAGACTCCCTTACATGATGCTGGCTTATATTCTCTTCATTTGACATCAGTTTTTGTTTTAGTGTTTAGGCGATGTTGTCAACAGAATAGATGAGAATATAGAGTATCATTAAAAAGACTCAATACACACTAAAACATCCTGTTGAAATGAATTCCTGAAGTTTTAATCAACTATACAAGGAAAATATCATGAGCAGAGAAAAGACAGATGGGAGGAGGCTGAGTCAGTGTTTCCTGACTCCATTTATCCTGATTCTCCTTTCATTCTTCTGGTTTATAGGATTTTATTTTTTATTTTGCTGATTCTTGTATCATACTGGTCACCCTCTCTCTTCCTACTAGACTATAATACCACTCTAAACCAGGCTATAATACCTAAGTGTAGGAGATGTCTGATATAATCCTTACTGGGTGCATTTTTATTAATCTGATAACAAGTTTATCTGTGGAAAACTGTCCTTTAATAAATGCTTCTAAATATCATGCAGCCTTTTATAAATGCAGCACCTCAAAAAGGGAATTCATACTCCCTAAACTATTTTTCCTTATTTTTTACATTTAATCATCGTCTTTTCTGTATTTTATTTGGGTTAGGCAGACTAGCTCTTAATAATTTAGTGGGAGAAATGTTTGTGGATCTTTTGTTCATTTGATTTTCTTTTTTTTTTTGTATCAAAAATAGATTTCTGCGTAAAAAAAAAAAAAAATTAGACTGCAAATTCACTCCACACTTTTCAGATTTTTTGGTTTGTTTAATCAATTCAGAAGCATGTTCCTCGTTGTGCCTCTCAATTATTTGGTGTTTTATCACACACAATGGCTCTGATATTGGTTGAAAGAAAGAAAAACAGTTGAAGGGATAAAGGAGGTGTAAGGGATATTAAACCATCTGAGGGGACGCAAGAAACGAACAGGAGGATAAAGTAATAGAGGGCAGTGTTATAACAAAAGTAGCAGTCGTGTATTGACTGATGTGGTCAACAGTCGGCCGGCTTCTGCTCTTATTTCCGACATGATGGGTGGGATTCAGAGCAGATGTGTGACATGTACTGGAGCACTTCTGTGAGGGCAGTCTGTAATGCTCATCTGTGTCACAGAGAGCTGCCTTTTGTCTTTGGTTCAACTCCTGGTGGCTTTTTAGCCTCGGATAGGGCTGAATCTGCAGCGCGGAGGACAGCGCAGCGTAATGGGTCAGGTTATCATCTGACTCTTAAACTGTAAATTAGGACTGTATTTACCTAATTTTTTGCTATAAAAGTCCCTAATTTAATCCCTGTGATGATAATGTTATTTCAGCTGTGTGATACATCAGTAGTTTTTATTCATTTCTAAAACTCTTCAGTGATCCTCACGTTTTTTTTGTTCTGTTTTTTTTTTTCCCATTTGGTGCTAAATAGCATCGTGTTTGTTTCAGATTTCTTTACTTGGGTTTTTGGTTTAGACTAAAATTCGGATAATTACATGTTTAGGAATTACGCTGGAGTCAACATCTCTGGTCATGTGACTGCTGTTAATCCAACATGTTTTGTCTTGGGGCCATGTCAGTGAGGCTCTGTACCCTGTTGTGGATTCAAGGTCAGCTTTGTCTGCAGCAGTTGCTTAATGGTAGGTGTGCAACCATAACAGTGCCGAGTGAAGGGGATAATCATGTTGTTAAAGGTGGTTTGGGGTTTCATGATGGCAGTTAGAGAGTAGGAGGTGACAGATTGTCCTTTAAAGCTTTGTGGACTACTGTGTTGATATTACTGCATTTAGTACACATAAACAGATCAAGCTTCCACCAGTTGGTATTGATCTTAGGTTTTCTTTGAGTTCTAACCTGCTGATTTTTAGGGGGAGGGGTTTGTGTTTTTTATTTTCTTAGGTTTTTTTTGTTCCTAAGCCCCATCAGTCTTTCAAACCAGAGTTAAACTAATCACAATTTTCAAGTCAAAGGGAAAAATCCAATCTCGTTAATCTTGTTTTATGATCCTAATACCAATTTTACAGGGTTGTTGTTGGGTGTGAAAAGAAATACAATTTTGAGGATTTAAACTGCCTAATTTTACCTTAAAAGTGCTTTAATTTATTCTGATTTTTGCAAATGGGACACATGATACATTAAGTTACATCTTATATTAGTTTATGTTCACCTATTGTCTCTTAAAACACATAGCACAGGACGACTGCTTTTAGAGCCGTGAAGAACTGCGTCACACAACTAATTAACCAGTAAATTGATTTCTATTTTAATTCGTATTTTCTGCTGTGTTGGAGACATTTCCAATACTGGTATTGGAATCAGAACAACTCTAGCAGTCTGTCCCATGCTACCACACTTGTGAAAGCAGCACCAACATTCAAAAGTGAGCAAAACATCAGCCAGAAAGGTACTGAGAATTGGTCTGTGGTCTTGCTGATTACCAATAATTTCCCCCCCGTTTTCTATTCCATTTGCACAACAGCATGGGGAAATGATTGTCAATCAGTGTTTCCTCCAAAGTGGACAGTTTGATTTCACAGAAGTTTGATTTGATTGAAGCTCTGTTGTGTTGTTTATGTTTCCCTTTATTTTTTAAAGCAGTGTATAATATTGCTAATACTTTTAACACCAGATAAAATTGTTCATGTATAAATGACATAATGCCGACAGTTTGTTGTTAGTTTTCGTTTTTTTTTTTTTTTTTTTATTGGGACAGCTCAGTTAATGTTATTCCTTTTCTGCAGGCGATGTCTGAGGAGGCTGTCCGCCAGACTCGCAGCCAGAAGAGGGCGCTGGAGAGGGAGGCTGCCTCACAATCTGTGGACCTCTCCAATGCTGACTACGAAAGCAAAAAACCTAAATTGGAATCTTCTGAGCCATCGTCAGGGGCACAAACTAAACCCAAGCCAGACCTTTTGCTGGCACAGGACGCTCAGAGCCGGACTAGACCTGGATCCGATGCTGAAACGGAACCGGAGCCAGAGAAGAGCCGATTGCCGTTACCTTTAGTGTCACCCCTGACTTCAAAAGACGATTGTGATCGGACACAGAGACACCAGACGACTGAGTCCGGCTCAGACAATCGAATTCACTGCAATGACAGACAAAGGATGGAGCCAGCTGTGGAGCCTCGAAGCCGGCTCCGGCAGACTGAGGCTAAGACCTCAGGTGGGACGCTCGCTGCGGGCGAGGTGAAGGCAACGATCAAAGTGGAGGTTCAGACCGAGCAGCCTGTGGACATGAGCACCAGCAAAGGGTGAGAAACTAAAAGCAGCTTTTAAATCTTCTGCTTTAAAAGTTTCTTTGATACATATTTACAGATAAAGTCATAACATCGCATAAGTGTTTTTTTAGAAACTCAGAGGAAAAGCTCTTTTTTTTCTTCTAAAGTTTGTTTTTAATGAAGATGTGCTTCACACAATACATCAGTTAATGGATAAGGGAATGGGGGTTAAATACAATTCTTAAGGCCTGGTTATACTCCCGCAGCAGTGTGTCGCAGTGAGCTTGTCGCAGATATTTTTGATTTATGCCCAATATTGAAGCGTGATCTGCGTTATTTTATTCCACACCACAACACAAGAGGGACAATCATGAACTAGCTGTGGGTCTAAGATGCAAGTTTGTTCGACAGTGGAGGAAGGGACGAGGGCGAAACAGATCCAGGTGGAAAAAAGGTCCTAGCATTCTCGCACACCTCGCTCTTCTAGCTGGTCCATCTTCACGAGTCGTGTTCCAAAATGGCGGTCATACAAACAAAACAAGCCGGTAAGGTACCAAACAGGAAATACGCATAGTGTAGAGAGGGCCAATCAGATGCCTCCTGTCTGCGGCTCTGTCTGCGGTAACCTTCAATTTTGGAGGGGTGCTCCAGAGTGTCTGCGGGGGCACATTTGCGTTCACTATGACACACACGCAGACTGCCTCGTTTCTGAGTATAAATCAGCCTTTAGGACGACATTCTTTTTGGTAAAAAAAGACCTAAAAAATGTGGATAAACTTGTCATGTTCATTGCTCAGGTGTCTTTCCACCTTTACTTCCAAACAAACAGTCTACACATAGTAAAGGTTCTGGGGTCTCTCCTGTGCATTCACTTTTAATTTCATTTCAAATTAGGTGAGTGACTTAATCATTCTAAGATCTTTATAATATGATGTTACTCTTTAAAATCTCCACACCATAATTTCATCCTTCCTAACTTAATTTATGCTGTATGCACTCTTCTGATATGCACACAATGTAGTTTGGTTGCCCAGTATGGCTGATCTCTGCTAATATATGGGGGATCATGAGTTTGAAAACTGATGAGTTGCATCATTGGATCTCAACTACTTAAGGAGATCCTGGTTATGTTTGGTAGGTCTAAGCAGCCTTCATCAGGAAAGGGAAAATCTAAGCCAGGTTTTCTAGGATATTTTGTCTGATTTAGAGTGGGTGATGGAGATGCAGCACTGTTTCAACTCAGATTAATTCTTCACCTATCCTATCCATGTCTGTCTGACTGGACAGATCAAATTAAAATAAATCCTTTAACTTCAGACTGAGGTGTTGAGGATGAGATGGTCTAAAGCACCTCATAAATTAGGTAGTTAGGACCAATCTTTTAAAATTATTTCAAAGATCTTTTTAAATGCTGCTTTGAAACGTATGAGAACTTTTATTTAGTCCAAATATATGAAGCAAAAACTCACTAAACTCTTCCAGTTGTTTAATGGTGGGATTTGAATTTTTCAAAATTTAGGAATACATCCTTTAATCAATAGCGTCCCTGTTCTGCACCATTCAGGGTACTGACAGAAAGTCCCTTTTGGCCACTTTCCTTCATGCCTTTATTACTTATGCCCAATTTCGTGCTACTTTATTACACATGAATTATAGACAAATGTAAGTTGATTTCCTTTGTGGTCCCAACATGTGATGCAAATTTCTTGTCAGTAGTCCAATTAGAAATGTGTATTACCTCTGGAAATCCTTGGCCTTGTGTTCAGTGTTCGTTTTTCCCCGCTGTTAGTCATGAAGCGGCCTGATCACATGAACAATCAGTTGTTTCAGCTTCAAAAGTTTCTTTGCCCACTAAATGGCTGCCAGCTACTTTGTTTCTCCTTTTTATTTTTTAAGCATACTTTAAGAAGCGGTAATAATGATACTTTATGTGAGTATAAATAGATGTGTTGGGACACTTTTGTAATCCCTGTGTTCTCTCAGGCTGTGTTTTGACAGGAGCCTAAGTAGGGGGGGGCGCATCTTTTTTTAGTCCACCTCCATTTTCCCTCCACTCTCCACCTGAACCCTAAAAACTCCTCTCACACAAAATGAAGCCGTGTGTCACAAACTGGTTCCAGCCGGCTGTTGCCATGGTTTCCACCGTGGAAGGAACAGGGGGAGTTAATGTGTCACGTGATGCTGACTTTGAGGTCATGTGACTTCTTCGGAAGAGTAGTGATTAATCCACAGGAAGTGATGATGATGGCGCTAAGCCCCCGAGGAGAGATTATTACGCACACACATACAAATAAGGAGGACAGCCAGTGGAGGCAGGCCTCATATTGTCTAGAAAATGTTTATGCCCGGTAGAAATGTTTAATGTCTGCAATCATTGCTTGTTTTGTGGAAACATTCCCCGCCCCACACCACTCAGTTTGTTTTTTGATTTATGTTTTAGAGCAGATAGAAACGATTAAAAGCCCGGTGCAGCAGAACCTGTTACTTTGCAGAGATAGGATGTGAGGTTTGAATAAAATATGCATAGCTACATGGTTTTAGCACAAGCTGATCGCCATGGCTAGATTCTGACTCTTCTGGATCTACATTTGCTATCGTTTTTGCAGGCTTTGTGTTACATATTTAGCCTCCGTGTGGGTCACTCCCAAATGCCCTAGACGCCTGTTTTTGTTTTTTATGGGTTTTCTGTTTTTTCTTTAGTGTTCTGTTTAAGCAGGAAATGCACGTTCTCTTAAACAGCCGTTTCATTGTTACTTCAAGACATTTTCTGGAGCTTAAAGGGACCACCTTGCCCCTCCTTGGCATTTAGGTGTATTCACCTTCAGTTGGAGCATGAATGGAAGAGCTGAGAGGAGAGCTGTCTGGACTTGTTAGATTACAGTGGAGCAGATAAACCTGTGGTCATAAAGTATAATTGTTGCAGTATAGAAGACCTCCTTGAAGAGAGACTGTGGAACAGTGTTTAAATAAGATTAATGCTGTAGTTTATTTCTTGCAGCACATGAAAATAAAGTAGGATCTCTCAGCTTTGAAATTCTTACTGTGTTTAAAAGTTTCTCTTAACACGTACAGCACTAGGAAGTTTTATCAAGTTTGTGAGTTTATATTGCTGGTCAGTTCTGAAACTGACCCTGGATGTTGCTGTCCTCTTTTTTTTTTTTTTTTTTTTTAATTCACCTGCAGCATAAAAAGGGAGAAACGCCCACCGTCCCCTGAAGACGACGACGACGATGTCATCATCTTGTCTGATAACGACTCCCCTAGTCCACCGATGAATGGCCTGAGCCACTTTAAGGAGCTGGACACTGACCTGCTCATGGTTAGACAAAAAAAAGAAAAAAACGCCAAATGTTTACAGTCTTATGGTAATTTACCTGGGGTGTTGTGTACGCTATGATCCAACCAAAAAAGATCTCAATTCCGTATTTCTGGTGTATTTTGAGTGTTTTTCATAGAGGTCTAAAATTTGAGAGGTGGGGTGTGTAGCTCCTTCTGTGTCTATTTAAGCGACAACATTTTGCTGATTCTGAAAAGCATAGAAACCAGCTTTGCACGTTCAGAGAATTCGACTTTTGTCTGTTTTTCTTAAAAAAACAAAAAATGTTTAAGGTAGTTTTGAATAGGAGTAGAGCTACTTGCCAAAAGTTCTCTGGATTGGGGTCATTGTTCTGTTTAAAGATAAGATCACCAGCCTCGCTATTTCTGCTGAAGGAAAGCATCGCCTCAGCATGATGCTGCCATCACCATGTTTCACCATTGGGATGATTTGTTCAGAGTAATGGACAGTGCCAGTTCAAGGTCTACACTTGGATTCAATGAACCAGAGCATGCTTTGCACTCCTTTGCTGACCCCCCTACAAGGCTTGTGGTACACTCCAAACTGTTTTGAATGCAGTGTTCTGTGAGATTTTTAGTGCATTAGACATTGTTTTCTACCAAAACTGTGGTTTAAACTGCTCTACAAAGCCTCTGACCTTTCTGCTGAGGTCTTCACAGAACAGCTGCATTTATATTGAGGTTTAACTACTCGCAGGTGAACTGTGTTACTAATTAGGTGACCTCTAAAAGCAGAAGTTCTATTTAAAGGGGTGTATCACAAGATAGCATGTAAAAAACTCCAATGTTTGTAGGCTTAACACAACAAAAGGAAAAAAATATAGTGTATTATTTGTAAGGTCCTGTATTTTGTTGTGACCCCAGTGCAGCTAATCCAAATCTGAAAGTTGTGTCAAGATTCAAATCACAATGACCAAGGTCTTTGGTTTGTTTGCTTTTATTTTTTAGATCAGCTAAATAGAAGTGTTTTGTTTGTTGGCAACATGAATGACTTTCTATTCTGTTGTGTGCAGAGGAGCAGCCCTGTGGAAAGAGAGCGTATCATCAAGCAGCTGAAAGAGGAGCTAAGACTAGAGGAGGCCAAGCTGGTGCTGCTGAAGAAGCTTCGACAGAGCCAAATACAGAGGGACACTCTGCAGAAGGTAAACACACTTTGTCTACAGTGACACTTAACCGTCAGTTTATGTTGCGTCCTCCTTTAAGTGGCCATCGTCTACCCCTCAGATGAAGTCTGAATCATGAGTGGATAGGGTCTCACTTGTATTTGGATGGCAGAAATAGTAGCTGGTTCTTCTGCTGACGTTCTTTGTAACTAGAAAACCTGCAGAAGGTTAAAGTCGGGTTTAATGAACTCATTATTGCCACTACAAGGAGATTGTAGAGGTTAGAAGGGAGAGTTGGAGTGAGTCCTCAGCTTCAGGTCAGTGTGGAAACAAACGGAATGAATGAGTCATTGGAAAAGCATTCAAATACTTTACAGTCATATATTTAGTTGATTTATTAAATAATAAAGTATAGCTGTGCCACCACCCATGTTTATGACTCATACCTCGAAAGCAATAAAAATCTGATGAAGAAAAACCGTTGGAGGTGTTCAGTGATTACAGCCATGTGTATTGTGAAAGGTCCAAACATTTGAAGCGAAGTGCACCATATGTCTTTTGTTTGAACACATACACATTTTTTTCTTATCTGGGATTCTCCTTTGTAATTTCTCAGCCCTCAGGTTTATCTGGTTCCTCTGCTCCTCCTCCTCTAATCCGAGGAACAATTACCAGCAATAAAGGCTCTCAGCAGGTTAATGTTCTGTTGTCTTTGCACCTTTTTGGGCGGGTCGTTGGTGTCCAAGGTCAATCATTGTGTATCTAACATGGCCGTTATTTATCTGTGTCCAGATTCTGACAGGAAGAAGCTCGGGGACAGTGATCCCTCCTCCTCTGGTCAGGGGAGGACAACAGCTGTCGTCCAAACATGGCTCCCAGATCATAATGCCACCTCTGGTTAGAGGGGCACAGGTAAGTCATGATGGGGACAATCAACCCTTCTGTCTTTACACTGTTAGGTTTTTTTGGAGCTATACGGTCTAAATGCTCATTCTTATTGCGATCACAACAACCTCTCTAGAAACTTAATGCAAATTAATGATAATTAGCACTGATTTTCTCTCTTTGCGCCTCTGTGTCTTTATGTATGTTCTCTTTGCTTTGGTGCTTTTTATGTCCCTATCCTTGTCCTCCACTCCCCTCATCCATGACGTGACTCCATGTCCTCCCTCTCATTGTCCTGGTTAGCCCATCTCTGTTTCTCCACAGCAGATCCACGCTCTACGCCAGCAACAACAGCAGCAGCAGTTGGCAGCAACAGGAGGATCAGGGCCTCCTCCTCTGCTGCTGGGACCGAGGAACTCTGGAACCTCATCCCAAGGACAGAGAGGCATGGTCCAGTCAGGCCTCATCCGGGTGGGCAACAACACAAACTCACTGGTTCGTATCTAACAGGGCCTTAGATTTGTTGACTAGATGTTTCTCAAGATTAAAGTGTGTAGTCAGTGGCAATCATTAAGCTATCAGACGTGCATTAAATCAAAACCAATGGCCTACAGTCTAGTTCAGGGGTTGGCAATCCAAACTGTTCAAAGAGCTATTTTGGACCAAATAAACAAATCGGTCTGGAGCCTCAAAAATGTAAAAGTCTCATATGGCAACACAGGCACTTATAGTATTAGCCCACAAAACAAAAAAGAACTATGGGAGCTTAAATATAAAATGAGCATTAAATGATTAAATGTCTATCCTGAAGAAAATCTCTCATCATGTGACTACTCTGCTGTATGATATTTGGTGCTTTAAGTTTAAATTCCATTACAGTATTAATGTATAAGGTTTTGTTGCTTTCATAAAATTATAGAAACACAATACAGAAATCAGATTTTTTTATTGTTTTATTTTGAGGATTTCGGGGGGGGGGAAATAAGAAAATTCACATCCCTGCATAAAAGAGCTACCTGTTCATTCTGTGAATGGTTTTCCATGCTTGAAATGAAACCAGCAGTATTGGAGTTCGGGGATGCAATCCACTTCTTAAATCTATCTTCGCCCTCTAATTTATCCAGTTCTACAATTGTACTTTTTCTCTCACTCCCAACTCTGTGAGCTGCTGCAAATTAAGCGCGCCTTCCCTGGAAATGCCTTCCCAAATTACTCTTTTTTTAGTGCTGTCAAAATTATCGCGTTATTAACGCGTTAACGCGAGGCCATTTTAACGGCGATAATTTTTTTAACGTGAGATTAACGCTATGTGGTTTTATGGTACAATTTTCCAAGTACATCCTGCTGCAGCCTGCGGGAAGGCGGGGCTATTTTCCCCCAGTGTATGCATTTCTCATAGGCTTCGAGAGCGGACCTCCTCAAGGGAAAAAGACGCTCATACACTGGGTGACGCTAGTGCCTTTTCTTTAAGCCCCACCACCAACAAACAAGTTGAGTGTCTGGTAACTAGTAGCAACCTGAAATACGCTGAGAAAACAGATTACTGAGGTGAAATGGAATCTGCTACGGCACTCTTGCTGTCTGTGTACGCCACAGGTCAGTATCGCGCGCGCGCGTGTGTGTGTGTGTGTGTGTGTGTGTGTGTGTGTGTGTGTGTGTGTGTGTGTGTGTGTGTGTGTGTGGGGGGGGGGGTGGGTGCGTGCTTGTGTGTGTGTTCTCATTTTTGTTAAGAGGCTGAAAAGTAACTTTCTAGAGCATAGACTACCTCCATCTATGGAGGTAGTCTATGCTCGGTCTATTGATTTTGATGTATTGATTGAAAATTGTTCATTATTATCTTGGTTAATTAACATCTAATGTTAACTCTACAGCATTTTATAGCAGTAGGGTAAAATGCTTGTCTTTGTTCAAAAGACTGCATTAACTGTAAAGACTGTCTTTTACATCAGCCTGTTTTCAGGGCCTTTTTTTTGGCTACATATTTGTTATTTTTTGCTACATGCCTCCCCATCTTCTTGCCATATGTTTCTATGGCATAAATCAGTATCTGTGACCTGTTTTCATTTTTAAAAAAGAACATTGGCACAAACCTAGCCTGTATGTATTTTTTTGTATGTCATCGAGAGTATTTAAATGATTTTCAATCAGGAAAAAAATGTGCGATTAAAATGCGATTAATCGCGAGTTAACTCAGGCATTGATGCGATTAATCGCGATTAAAAAAATTTAATCGATTGACAGCACTACTCTTTTTATTATTCGAGAACTTCTCACTACAAAGCACACATGCAGGCAATCCTTCCGCATTGATAATGAAAGCAAATGATTCGGTCCATTCTTTGAATCCTCTGTTCTCATCCGCTATCTTCCTTTTTTCCCGTTGGGAGCCATGTCCCTAGACACAATGTTTACATTTATTGTTGATATGTATTTATAATACAAATTTTGATTGCATTGGGAAAACATACTGAATGTTTGACCTCCTGCACACCATATTAAAACAAACAAAAAATTCCAATCTTGCGGGTCTAGGTTGCTGAAACCTGTTATTTTTCCCTCATCATAATGGTTTTTCTTCTTTATTCATTTTTTATTAAGATGCATTATATTGTTCAGTCAAGATTGGAATAAATCACATTTTATTATTACCTCCTCATTTTAATATCCGATATTTTATAAATGTGTGGCTCTGCATTGCCTGCGTTTTACACCTGGGTAGCAGAAAGTCTAATGGGACTTCCACAGCCAGGGATGAGAGTCTTGAAGGTTTTAAAGACACCAGTCCAGCCAGGTTTGTAAAAAGTGAGTAGAGAAAGAAGTGAACAAGATCGAATGTCAGTCTAACAAAGCCGCCCAATGGAGAAGAGATTATCTGTTTTTCATGTATTCTAATTGGGTTTTTTGTTTGATGTGCTGCTAAAATAATTTTGCACATGATAGATGGAAATTTGATCTTCCTCTTCTAACATGCTATTCCCAGAGATGCATACAGAATGAATGAAGGTCTCTATTAAAATATTTTGCTATAACAAAGAAATCAACCGAAATTAGAAAGCAGATATTGTAATTATAACATTGCACACATGTTTATGTGCTAAATATGTTTAGGTTTTCCTATAATTATTGGTCATGTATTGTTTTTGTTAACTCACATATTTTTTTTCCCTCTGACTTTATTATACTTGCAGTTATTTTTATTTATTTTTCTAATTCATACCACAACTTTTAAAATTAATTTTATGTATTATCATTAGGAGCCTGTTTTTCTCTCCTATTTGCACTTTAATTTCCATTTTTTGTTTACATGGGAATTAACACAGGAGTTAGGGAAGGAATGAAACAAAAGCAAAATCAGATAATTATAATAAATTAAATATATTGATATAACACCAAGGAAAACTGCTGCAGTTGGACATTTTTAATATCAAATATGCAACGTTTTAAGAATAACAATTATTATTATGCTTGTTTTATTGTATTTCCTACATTTGTTATCTTTCTAACTTTTTATTCATTCTTTATTGTCGAAGTTTTAGTCCTCCAGTAACTCAATAAACGATTTGGGTTTACTGTTTCTTTTTCTCCCATTTGACGTATTTATGGAACATGAGTCATCACAAATGTATGATGAATTATGGGAAAATGATAAAATTTATGTAATTATTGTTGTCAAAACTGGAGTGAAGTTGTACCAAAGAGGCCAGAACGTCTGAAATAGGATGCGGTGAAAAGGCGGAATGACCGCAACGTTTAGCCGTTAGCTAGGTGTAGTTAGCTCGTAGTCGTTGATAAAATTAAACCGTAATCCATGTAATATTATGGCCGTGCTCGTGTTGCTAAGTCGCGTTTGCTTTTAAAAGTGCTGCAAATCTTGACGAAATACGGCAAATCAGAAAACGGCAGTTCCTTGTTCTGCTTTTAATTGTTTTTTACTTCGTCTTTAAACATGGCTCAGTTACCAATTACTAACTTTTTTCGGAGAACTAACAAGCAGAGAGTTGAGGTAAACCTACAGCCTGAAGTTAGCTTTGAAAAATGGCTAATGGATAATTTCGGTTTATTTGTTGCTGCGTTAGGCGTTAAGTTTAAAAACGAATACATTTAAACTCGTCAAACCGAGATTAGATTAGTCTAAAAATAGCTAAAACCTTCTTGTAACTAGGGAAAAATTGTATCTAATGTGTCGAACGTATTTAAAGTGGTCCATGTCTGAAACTATACTTAAAGTCTTGAAACCCAGACTAGATTATTAAGCACAAATAGCAAGTGTTATATCCTTGGTGTTATCTCTAAAAAAAAAAAAAAAAAAAAAAAAATCAAAAAAATATTTATAAGAGTATTAGGGGGGTCCTTTTGTAAAACTGATTGTGATTTTTGGGAAGAGTTCATTGCAGGTGTGACATTAAAGAAGATTTTATTGTATTATAAATCGACCCAGGGTCAAATATAAGGAATCCCAATAGCATTATATGCAGTTACAAAAGTAAGCCTGTAGTTTTGTAAATACTTTGCATGAAGGGATTGAATTCATTGTACATGAAATGCAAAGTTATATCAAGAATTATCCAAATAGTCCAGTGTGATAAGGCTTTTCATAGCCCTCCATTGATCTGTCATTTTAACAGTTAAACAAAGGATCATTCATTAATTGTGTTGTTGCTAATAGAAATCAAAGATGTTCCTGATGATTAGGTCCTTCCTGTCTCTGCTCCTTAACAAAGGCCTCGCCATCCGGTGTGAAGGGCTCCTCCTTAGGAAGTGGAGGTGTTTCTGTGGTCAGCATGAACGACTCTCCAGCTAGCCGCCATGCTGCAGCTAAACTGGCCCTTAGGAAACAGCTGGAGAAGACCCTGCTGGAGATCCCCCCACCCAAGCCACCTGCACCAGAGTTCAACTTCCTGCCCTCTGCAGCCAATAATGAGTTCATCTACCTGGTGGGACTGGAGGAGGTGGTGCAGAACCTACTTGATACTATCCACAGAGGTGTGCTTGTTTTTTTTTTTTTACTGTTCTCATAGTATGTTCCCATCTTTCAAAGGAAACTCATTTCAATCTCCTATACGTTACCCTTAACAGTAAGAAAACATCAGCAAACACAGCTGTTTTGATGTCATTAGCTTAAATTGTTTAATACATTTCCTTTATTGATTGAAAAAGAGAACTTAAGGTGCTGGTAGCCTCATACAGCTTTAATAATGGCCTTTTTTCTATTCTGTACTGGGCTCATTTTTCTGTTATGTCTTGACCCTTTTCTTCCCAAATTCTAAACAATTGTAGTTGATGGTTTTGGCTTGACTCAGCCCTAAAGAATTTTCCACTCCTCCCTGTCCAGGAAAAATGGGTGTGCCGCTGTCCAAGCAAGTTGTCAGAGACCCTTTCATTTGCACTCAGTGCAATACTGACTTCACCTGTCGCTGGAGGCAGGACAAGGCTAAAGGCGGGGCTGTACTCTGTGAAGACTGCATGTCGTCCAATCAGAAAAAGGCTTTGAAAGCCGAGCACACCAATAGGCTGAAAGCAGCATTTGTCAAAGCACTGCAGCAGGAGCAAGAAATAGAGCAGCGTATTATTCAGCAGGCGTCCTCACCGGTCTCCCACAGTACCTCATCATCCGCCTCATCTGCTGCTTCGGCACTGAAAGCAGAGCAGCTGGTGTCTCAGCAGCTGAAGCAGGCTCAGGCCAGAGTGTCCTCCCTCCAGCACCACCACCAGGCCAGCAGGGGAGGCAACATTCTCCATCATCACTCCATTAAGCAGGTGGGAAAAGCTGTTTTTCTTTTCAGCTATAAGGAAACCATGTAGGATCTAGCCCTGTAGATCAAACTGTCTATTTATGATAATCTCCCCATAGAGCTCGCAGGGCCACCTGTCCCATGTCTCATCCGTGGGGGTGAGGGGCGTCCCCCACTCGTTCTCCTCCTCTTCGCAGCTGCAGAGCGCAGTGGCGGCCGCAGCTCTGGTTAGCCGGCCAGGTAAGCATGCCCATGTTTCCCACCGCTCTGTCCAGAGTTCAAAGGTGAGCAGCAGTGGGATCGGCGGCGGCAGGAATGTCAGCGGAGGTAGTGCCTCATCAGCTGCATGGAAGAAGCAGAACAGCAGTAATGCAGGTAGACTCGCATTAAGACCGGCCCAGCTCTGGCGCCTGACATCTCCTCTCTTTCAACTCCTGTCTGGTTCAAAAGCAATTCTTGGAACACATTTCATCCAAATTGTATTACTTCCAAAAGAGTATTAAATAAAACAAAACATTAAGATTTAAAAAAACAAAAAGGAACTGTAGGAACTGTTTTCGGACAAGGCAACCCTACTCTCCAGTTCCCCTCGTGGAAATGATTCAATTTTTTTCCTACTTTAGTCCCCCTGGTTTTGGTGAGTTCCTGTTTTTCCTGGGTGTCTCTGTTGTAAGGTGTATTCGAGTAGAAAATCTTTCCATTTTTCCTGTGCATCTGCAGTCAGAAATGTGTATATAATCTCATCATGGTTATGAACTTATGTAAATGTAGCAACTTAAAGAAACTGTGGAACACCCATGGCTTCCATAGTAGGTCTCTCAGGCTTGAGAGGGAGGCACGAGTTTGGTGTGTGTAATTCATTATGGCACCACTAGATGGGGGTAAATCATAGACACTGTACCTTTTACTTGCATATATTTATTTCTGTAAAATTTGCAACAATCTCAATATTTTATAATTGTCATAGTTGGACGAGGAAAGTGATTAACTGATTAATTAACAAAATTCTCAAGGTGTACTGTAGAATTTTACCTTTCACTTGATGGTTTTTAGTCTTGCTAAAGAGTAAGGCTAAACCATGCCAAAGGTTTTGGTTTTTTTAATACAAGATGTAAAATTTTTAATGAATTGGTTCTTGTTTACTAGTCTGCATAGGTTCAAAGTAAAATAAAAGGTCAAAATATTTAATGTAACGCTATCAATATTTGATGAAATGTCCCTTAGAAATTTGTTCAGAAACCGCATGGCTTTTGCAGCTATTGCTAAGTGTCTGACTATGTTTTAGGTGAATATTTGCAGAAAGGTTTTTTTTTTTATATAGCTTTATTTTCTGGGAAAATGCCAGCTTTTAAGCATAGTCCACAAACATTTCATAGGTTTTCGTCAGTGATTTTTATAAAACTTATGGCTAATCTTCTAAACAAACTGTGAGAAAACAAAAGGTATTTAGTTAGTGTCTAGATCTTGAAAGTTCTATTTCAGAAGATGAGGGGAATGTTATTTTCTTCATCACAGGTACACTTCAACTATGAGGGAAAATTAGGGGGAAAATCTAGGAAATTACACAGTAGGATTTGTTTTAATATTTAAGAAATATTACCTTAAACGTATGGTGGAGGGTGTTCATTTTCCGGGTGGATCATCAAAATTATTGGTCCTTCTAATTGTCAATTATTCTGGTTATATGTTTACGTAAGGCTGTCATATGTGCTGATCCCCATTTTCACTGTTGAGTCTGACATAGTGGAACAATTGCAAATCTTCTTTTGGAAAGTAGGCTTGTATAAGCGATGCAAACGGCAACTTTTAAACAGAGCACAAGGAGAAATGGGCTCTCGTATGCGTTCCCTCCCGGAAGCGGGTACATGTGCATTTTTTTTTTTTTTTTTATTGGAGAGGGCAGGTCTTTTCAAAACTGTAGGAATCATGCTTTCCTAAACAAGATTGATCTTAAACCCCAGGCACTCACAGAGCAACTTTCAACCTTTTATCATTTGGTTTGCGTAGATATTTAGATTTATCAAAGATGTACATTTGAGCTTGAGTAGTTTAAAGAAAAACTCTTTGACCATGTTTTTTAGAAAAAACTGATGACTTTATGTACATTTCTGACTGCAGCTGTGTTCGTCTGTCCGTTGTTGGGACGTTGGTGGCTTCATATTCAAGTATTCATACTGCTCCACTGATTAATCTGTGTTCTGACCCACTGCTCTGCTGCATGTTCACAGGAGTAACTATGGCCTATGTGAACCCAAGCCTGACTGGTCACAAGAGCTCGGCCACCCCCGGCGCCCGTCACAGGGAGTACCTGCTGGACATGATCCCCTCCCGCCCTTCAATCTCGCAGACTGCAAACACGTGGAAATAAGTGAATAAACGGTGCTCTGCTGTCCAGAGGTTGTGTCAAAGCTGCTCAGCTCTGATAGTTTGGTCCACAGCGCCCCCACAGGACTGTTAAGCAATTACAATCTCTCAAAGTGAAGAAACGTTCCTGAAATCTCTTTGTAAGATTTTATCTTTTAGTTTTCATTATTCTTGTTGTTTATTTTGAAGTTCACGCTGTTGTTTTGATAAATATGCACAAACCATTTTGAGTGGGTCAAAGACAAAAAGAAAAAAAAAAGCAAAATAAAATCATACTTGAAGGGCTTCCCCTTGGTTCTGTCCTCCAGACCGAGCAGAAAAGTTGTTAAAAGATCTGCTGTTAAAGGAAGTACTGAGTTTTAGGGTTAACAACCCTTTCTGCCATCATGGTGGTCAGATGAACCTTTATTTTTGACACTTGAATGGTTCTAATTATAACCCAGGAGTTCACATTAAACGAAAGACACATTTATTTTAGGTAAAGGTAAAATCAGCAAGTTGTAAAATGTTCATTACATCCTCTTTGTGTAGGTAAAGCTTTCAATTTACGTTGTATTTACAGTAAGTTATTTTGTTCTTGACTGATGTTTAAAAAAATCGCTGAGTATGACAGTGGTTTCCGCTGATAAGGACTTTATTTTAGCTTTGTTTTTGTTGTTTTTTTTTTTCTCCCAGTTTAACAGCATGGCTATCCATACGCCTGTTTTGCACCTTAGCAGAAGAAGCGCGGTGTCATTGCTTAACTCATCTGTAATTACCATTTACTTATTTTATATTATTGTCAACATTGTAAGATTTTGATGTCATCATTGCAAACTCAGAGACAGAGCTGAATTTTCTGCACTGGATCCAGAGCTTTTTGCCTTCAGTGAATCAGTATCCATGACCCTGGGTGGACGTTGCCCTTTCTGGGTTCATGTAAGGAAGGGTCTCCTAGCTACCAGGACTCTGGACTAAACATTCAGAATACCACACCATCATGGATCATTTCTCTGCTTTCCATAATCTTTTATTGTATTGTTCAGAATTATGTTAAAGTTTATTTGGTTTACCTTTTCCTAGTTCCTAAAGAAATAAAAAAAATATACATTTTAAATGGCCTCTGTGTTCTTATTTTAGAGGGGAATTATCCAGAGCACTGACTTTTTATATGCATCTGCTATTTATTTTAATACATTTTCTTTAGGTTACACATATTTTTGGCTGACAGATTTTATTTATTTGACGCATTCAGGTGTCAACATGTACACCTTCAACGTATTTATCTTATTGGAAAACAGATAACTATTCGGTTTAAGCAATCCAAGCTTGTTTTAACTATATACAAGGTCTCAGACAGAAAAGGTTTGAAGCATCGGTGCATTTCAGATGTTTGTGGAGGCTGTTTTCACATGTATCAGCCAATGATCCAAACTTGAAGAATTGAAGCAGATACTCTTTTTTTTTTTTTTTTTTTTCCAATTTGTTTTTTGTTTTTACTGTGCAGCTCTTGCATAAACCCAGACGTTGACCCGACCACAAACGGTGTTCAGCAGCTTCTCACTTTGCAGTTCTGGATCTCTGCAGCCTGATTGGTCGCTACCTTTGACTGTTTCTCTGGTGAATGCCCTCCTGCCCGGCTGGTTAGTTGAAAGCAGTGTCTTGGAAGTGATAATGGTTGGTTTGGGGGGTAGTGTTGTAGTCATGACCACACATTTTGTGGCTCCAATGACTCGGACCTGCTTGCTTTGCTCCTTGGTCTTCATGATGCTAAAATCTGAGGCCTTCCCAGATGAGATGGCTTTATGCTGAGATTAACTCGCTGCCAGACTTTTTTTTTTTTTACTGGCGGTCTATTGCTCTGTAAATGTCTTGTTAATGTCTGCCATGTTGTTAAACGTGTTTTTTCCCCTCAAGGCCACAATTGCACCATATGGATCTATTTCTGTCTGAACACACAGAAAGAAAGCCGAGTCCTCCAACTGTCGCTCTACTCTGCTTGCAGCAAAAGCAAAGTCAGTTAATGTCTAGCTGGATATATCCGCTTATCAGACAGGTTTGACTTGTTAGCAGCTTGTGGGAGTGATTAAAAAAGTGGCAGGTAGTTTAGTGTCTCCTTATAAACGAGAAAGCTTGAAACTGACATTGGAACAACCAGTTTCTCCAGAGCTGTGCTACAGGACAGCTTTCTATAGAGGTTTTCTTAAAACATTTTCAACAAGGAGGCTGCTTTTTTGTTTTATTTTTTAATAAATGTCTTAAAAAATAGTAATTTGTCTTTTTAATTTGTAAGTATTGCTTATAAGCACAAAAACAGCACAGTGTCCAGTAATCCTGCTCTTTTCACTGTAGAGTCATGTGCTACTTTGTGTTTGTCTATTTTATGAAACTATGTAAAATGTGTTAAAGTCAAATACAAGAATGTTTCATTGTAACTTCTGCTTGGCACTGTATGAAAAGTTAGACATGTTAAAAACAATCAATACAATGCATATAATGGGGATTTAGAGGGATTCCCTATTCAATTATTTGGCAATAAATCGAGAACTCTGGGTAATACAGAAAATTAGAAAACAAGAAACATCGCAAACAGCTTCTGACATGAAAAAAGTCTAGCAGTACATGTGATTTATTTTATTTGTTCCAAATCCAGTAAATCTTCCTACAGATCTAATATAACTGGACCAAAGAGGCCTGCAGCAGGTCAAAATGAAATATAATTTCTGTTACTTTTATTTAATTAGTCTCAAGTTCTGCTAATTTAATGAAACATACATGATATTATTATAAAATACTCTTTTTTTTTTTTTGCTATTTTGCCTACTGCTGCTGATTTTTGCTGAGTGTGGAACATATGTTAACATATAAACACAGATAGTGAGACTAACTGTATGTACATAAAGTACCATGTGCTATGATGATTGGAGCACTTCATTGAATAGATTGATACAGCACCTAGGTGCATATCTGTACATATTGTAGCTCAAAGTTCTTAATCATTTTTAATTATTTTTTAATTCTGTGATGTGAAAATATTATTTTTAGGTTCATTGTTTCAGAGCAGAATTTCTGTTAAGTAAATAAAGCAAATATGTAAATACTTGTTTTTATTATATTTAGACTTAGACTTAGACTTAGACTTCTTTATTTGTCATTTTGTATGCACAGGGTGCATACAGAACGAAATTGCGTTACATACAGCTTATGAACGTTGCATTGATATTTCAAATGGCACGAGTTATAGAAAAATACAAAAAGTGCAGCAGTGGTCAAAGTGTGAACAGTGCAGAGGATAAGAGACAGTGTGCAAGTCGCAGTGGTTCAGTGCAAAATGGCATTTGTGCAAAAAATGCGTTATTGAAAAATACAATGAGATGAACAATTTAAAGGGCTAAAAGTTAAAAGTTCAGCAGCATTTGATGCCCGATAATGTGCAATAGGTGCAGAGTTCGGATTGTGGATCAAAGGTTCAACAGTCTGATGGCAGTGGGGAAGAAGCTGTTGCACAACCTGGTGGATCTGCAGCGGATGCTGCGGAACCTCTTTCCAGAGGGCAGCAGGGAGAACAGTCCATGGTGGGGGTGTGAGGGGTCTTTGATGATATTACGGGCTCGGGACACACAGCGCTGTGATGAAATGTCCTTAATGGAGGGAAGAGGAGCCCCAATGATTCCTTCCGCTGTCCTCACCACCCTCCTCACATTCTTCCAGTCAGAAGCTCTGCAGCCTCCACACCACAGAGAGAGACAGCTGGTCAGAATGCTCTCTATGGTGCTTCTGTAGAAGGTTGTGAGGATGGGCGGGGGCAGGCGGGCTCTCCTCATCCTCCGCAGAAAGTACAAGCGCTTCTGTGCCCTCTTCACTAGAGATGAAGTGTTTACAGTCCAGGTGAGGTTGTCCGTGATGTGCACCCCCAGGAACTTTGTGCTGCTGACCACCTCCACAGCTGAGCTGTTGATGAGCAGTGGAGCATGGTGGGGGCGGTTTTTCCTGAAGTCGACGATGATCTCCTTCGTCTTCTCCACGTTCAGGATCAGACTGTTTTCACTGCACCAGTCCACCAGCTGCTCCACCTCCTCTCTGTAGTCCCGGTCGTTGTCGTCCCTGATGAGGCCCACCACCGTGGTGTCGTCCGCAAACTTCACGATGTGATTGGTGGTGAACCTGGGGACGCAGTCATATGTCATCAGGGTGAACAGCAGGGGGCTCAGGACGCAGCCCTGAGGGGAGCCCGTGCTGAGGGTGATGACATCAGAGGTGTTCTGACCGACCCGGACTGACTGAGGTCTGTTGGTGAGGAAGTCCAGCAGCCAGTTTCGAAGGGGTGTGTTGAAGCCCAGATGTTCCAGCTTTCCCACCAGGTGCTGTGGGATGATGGTGTTAAACGCTGAACTGAAGTCCAGGAACAGCATCCGCACGTGGGTGTTCTTCTCCTCCAGGTGGGCCAGGCTCAGGTGAAGAGCAGAGGAGATGGCGTCCTCAGTGGAGCGGTTTCGCCGGTAGGCAAACTGGAACGGGTCGAGTGTTGGGGGGAGACTGGAGACGATGTGTTCCTTTACCAGCCTTTCAAAGCACTTCATCATGATGGGAGTCAGTGCGACGGGCCGGTAGTCGTTGTAGCAGGTGACTTGAGGTTTCTTTGGCACTGGGATGATGGAGGCAGACTTGAAGCATGCTGGCACTGTGGCTTGCTCCAGCGAGGTGTTAAAAATGTCCGTGAGGACACCAGCTAGCTGACCTGCACACTCCTTGAGCACCCGCCCAGGTATGTTGTCGGGACCTGGGGCCTTCCGCGGGTTGACCCTCCTCAGAGTCTTCCACACGTCGGCTGTGTCAAGGCAGAGAACCTCCTCTTCCTGATGTGGGACAGCCTTCACTGCTGGAGTGCGATTTAGTGCCTCAAACCTCCCAAAGAAGTTATTTAGTCCGTTTAGGAAGTCAGCATCAACTTCATCCACCGGGGCAGGGGGCGTGTTGTAGTCTGTGATCGCCCGTATGCCTTGCCACATGCTCCTGGTGTTGTTGGCGTCGTGGAACAGATGCTGGATTTTCTGGTTATGGTTCCGCTTTGCTAACCTGATGGCACGGTTCAGGGTGGCTCTAGCTGTCCTCAGTGCCTCCTTGTCACCAGACTTGAAGGCTGAGTTCCGTGCTTTTAGCGCGTGGCGGACCTCCTCAGTCATCCAGGGCCGTTGGTTGGCTCGGGTGGTGATGGTCTTTGTTGTGCTGACGTCCTCGATGCAGTGGTTGATGTAGGCTGAAACAGTCATGGCGTACTCATCAACATTGATCTTGTTGTCATATGTTGCTGCTGATTTGAACATGTCCCATTCAGAGCATTCAAAGCAGTCCTGGAGTGCATCCATGGCCCCCTCCGTCCAGACCCTCACCTGCTTCACTGTAGGTTTTGCTCTGATCAGCAGGGGTCTGTATGCAGGAATTAGCATCACAGAAAGGTGGTCTGAGGAGCCGATGTGGGGGCGGGGGGCTGCTCTGAATGCGTCTTTTATGTTTGTATAAACTAAGTCCAGAGTGTTCTCTCCACGAGTAGCAAAATCCACGTGTTGATAAAAATGAGGGAGAACAGTTTTCATATTCGCCTGAAAACTGAATTATTATATACACCTAATTTTTCCTAATATTTTTGCTTTATCGTGAATAGATTATTTCTCTACTCATTTCAATTTGAAGTAATGCTAATCCTTCTTACTGCACACATACACATTTCTTAAAATGGCCTTAAAAACCTGAAATGCATCTAGAATCTAGATGCATTGAAACGTGTTGTTCCTTATTCAGACACGTGGGGGCGATGTGGAGCTCATTGACGGTCCGTTCTCTGTGTCCTAAAAGAAGAAGAGTCCTCTGCCGTACCCAGGCTGGAGCAAGATGGCGGGGTCCAAGGTGAAGCAGGACATGCCTCCTCCGGGAGGATATGCTGCTTTCGATTACAAGAGAAATCTTCCTAAACGAGGACTTTCTGGTACAAACACCCTTCTACGCCTTTATAGATACATGATTACATACAGATCCAATGAGAAGCGGTTCACAGCAACTCGAACTGAGGCTAATGCTAACTGTTCGGCTTCAGCTTTTGACACAAACTTAAATAAAAAA